AGCTATGGTGACGCCACCATAACCATCAGGACGATCACATCTAAATGTTCTAAAATGGGGTATTTTGGTAGAACGTGAAGAGAGGAGCCATGTCTAGGAAAGAATGGCTGTGGAATATTTTTGGTTGGCGAGTAAGTACTGCAGAGATGGCAAGCGATCTGTAAGGCTCCTTACATTCCATTGCAAATATTGAAATTAGAGATGGAATTTATTTTGTTTTTGTGAGTGAATTGCATAATTATTTAATTATTTGTTTGTGTATAAATTATTGAGGTGAAAGGTGTGATAGTTAGACAATTATTTTATTGAACAGGAGAAATAGGAATAGGTATAGCTAGGAGCGAAGATAGAGAAGATTCAATTAGGTTCTGAAGAGAGGAGGGAGAAGACGGAGAATATAACGGAGGGGAGTTAAAAAGAGATTCAGATAGTTTAAGGGATAGGGTATGTACCCAAGAGAAATCATTTTGGGTACTTTATTGTAAGAGGGATTGGTTAATAGTAGGTTTGTTTAAATAACTCCCATTGGGAGGAGAATACGATTGTAAAACTGGTAAAATAATATTTCCTTTAGATTGAGGGGGACTTTGTTTATGTTTATTTTTTTTTTTGAATTGAAAAAGTGGTGATTATCATTTAGGCTGGGGAAATGATTGTTATTAAGGGGGGTTAACTTCCGTAATTTTAGAAGTTGGAGACTGGTTGTTTACAATGTCAGAGTACTTGAAAGCAGAAGTATAACAATTATTTTTCTTAAACACTAACGCATCCTTGTAAGACATATTTTCGGTAGCCATGATTTTTTTGATGCTTTTTTTGGGTAGACCATTCTTTGCAGCTACGGTCTGTAGCCAAGTGAGGTGACTTGCAAAAAAGACAAACCGGATCAGTAACTTGGGCGAAGGGACATGTACCGAACGTGTGCTTAGATTCACCACAGTGACTGCACCGTGCCTCGCTACGGCAGTATTTAGTGTGTGTCCAAACCGTAGACAACGGTTACACTGAACGGGCGAACGAATACTGGGCTTAACTTCGAATAGCATGTTTAATAGCGAGATGACAGGCGGAATTTTGGTTGCAACAAATTCCAATTTGACAGTGCGGGTATTTATAATAGTACCATCTCTTTTTATGAAAATACGTTTAAAGTTTTCAATTGGAACAAGAGAGTGGAGACCTTCAAAAAATTCCGCTTCTGAGACATTGTTATCAAGTTTGATAACACCATACGAAAAAATAAGTGAGACAGGTATATTTACCTGGAAACCATTATCACTCGGGATTTTAGAACTTAGGCATAGATTGCCGTTGGTGATTGAATTGAAGGTAATTTTAACTTTTTTTGAGCCAACTGGTTTAATATTGGTGATACCAGTGAAGTTGGTAGAAAAGAATTTTGCTATTTTGAACGGGTGCAAATTCCCTAAATTTTTGTTTTGGTCGGTGCATTCGGCGAGTACAACAATAGGACCATTATATTCCGGTGAAAAATATCGGAGTCGAGCATTAATATTATTATTATCGATAGCCGGGTTTTGGGTTGTTAATGGCAAAATTATATCTGTAGATAACGAGATACGTGAGGCGGGCTCATTAGATTGGTCGTTGCCGTTAATAGCATCATCAACAATAATAGGCTCGTGCGCGTTATCAGGTATGTTATAATTGAAAGCAGTGTTTGATGTATTTAGAACCGGTGGATTATCTATTATTTGTTGTGAAACTGGAGAAACGAGACTGGTTGGATTTGTTTTAGCTTTAGACTTACGTGTGAGTAAGAGACGAGTGAAAAATCAAAACTGGATCCCGAGCTTTTATTGTGAGTTGTCGGTTTTATTTTGTTCGTTGATGAGCTTTGGCCGGCGCGAGAGCCGCCGCCCGAAGACAACGACATGGATAAAGCGAACCAATTAGAAAAATAACAAATATGTATATATATAGAGACTTTATCAGCAAAGGCACTAAAAACGATACACGACTGTTCGCAACGACGTGAAAACGTAGACTTATACAAATGTACAATACATTATTATGCCACGTTATTAGATTTTGCCAATAACTATTATTATGATTAAACAGTTTCTTTTTTTGTTTTTCATCCATGTAAAATTTCTATTAATTCACCATGGTCAACAACGAAAAAAAAAATCTCACCCTATTGTGCTAATCCAATTGATACAAATTATTTGCAGCGACGGTTTTATTTCATCTCATTTTTGACACCACAAAAAAAAAAAAAAAAACTCATTTAACTTTTTCATTCCCTGATAACCAAATATCAGTACATTTTCAAAGAGTTTCTTTTACGTGTATAAAATATACATCAAATATATAAAATACGTAACTGTGTAAAACACCTTTTCTTTGTAAAATTCTAATATGACAGTTCATTTAATTGCGATCTACAGTTATGTATGTTGCCAAAGATCTATATTTAAGAATTTGCATACAATTTATATTGACAAAATGTTTTCGAAACACATACATACTTACTTTATTTTCGAAACAAAGCCTTAAGGAAGACAAATCAGCTAGAATTATAAATACGTTTGTGTGTAACGTTCATAATAAGAAAATTGTTTAAGTATAGTAAAATCGATAATGTTATTTAGAATCATTATTATTTTTTTCAAATTCAGTTTGTTTCAATATAAAACCAATAGCGTTTATATGAATTTGAGAAGTAAAAACGTCACGTATCATGTATGTTATATGTTATATCGTACGTACAATCTAAATGTTGCAAAAAAAAAAAAAATTTGTTTTAATATATAAAATTATAAAAAAAGACCATCGGAAATACGTATGATATAATGAAATGAGTAGTTTCTTTTCGAAAAATGTACTATATGAAAAATTAAATGTAACTTTTTTTTAATGAATCGTACAAAATACAAAATAATGATGAGTGATTAGTTAATATTTTCCATGTAAAAGTTTTTGATTTGCAATTTAAATAAAAAAAATAATACTCTATGCTTGTATTGTGTAGTTGGTATAGAAATAATTGTAATTTAGGTGTAATTTGAAATTATATAATTAACTGCATCGATAAAATATCTATGGTGAAGTTTAATGGGTTAGTTTCACGATTTCTTTACAACACAATTTAATAATTCATAGAGCATTCTTTTTTTTTTTTTTCATTGCAGACAAAAAATCAAAGTAAAATAATATTAAATGAACTCTAGTAGAAACGGCAACTGCTTAAGAACTATAAATTTAAAATTAATACATTGCAGTCAACGGTGCCTTAAAAATCGGGCTTAAAGCCAAGAAAATAATTTCGACTCACCACTTTTTCACTAACGAATATTACAATGGATTGGCGTTTTATCTCGACGGCGGTGATATCGACCCCATAGGACAACGGGGTCAGTTAAATAAACGATATTTGTTTGTATAATATTATTTCTATCTGATATGCCGATTGTATTGTTGGTGTGGTAGCGTTTTAGTTTGTTTACCGAATCGTCAATGAAATTTTTAATCAACAGCATTTATTATTGTCATCATAAAGCATTTAAAACTTTTATTTCTTTTCTTGGATCATGATAGGTGATCAGCAAAATATAAAAGATACTCGATAATTGCATTGTGGTGAAATCGAAGAAATTGTGTACAAGTGGGAAATATTACACTCTCGTAATATTAATAAAATACAGAACGATTAATATTATTTACAGTTTTTAGTATTATAAAATAATTTTATATATATTTTATATTAATGTTTGAATATTCGTACGCATACTCAATCTCGGTTTTTTTGTATAATTTTAACAGTCGCTGTGCCCAGAAATATAATACGTTAAAATATTCAGTGTGTTCAACGAAAAAGGTAACATGAAATATTTTGAAGACATCATCATATATTTTATTCGGGATTTTTTTATCTGTGAAAGGACTTGAATTTACACTTATTTTTAAAAAATTAAAATCTTTAACATTTTTTTTTCCCGCGCTTTTGCAGTAATAAAATTTTATTTGTACTTGCAACCTCTATTTTAGAATTTATATTTTTATAACATTATTTTTTTAAACAACTTTGACTTACAAAGTTTGGTTCTATCTTAAAAATTGACTAATTGAAAGTGAGTTGAATTTTTGACTTACAAAATGTAATGTATTTATTGTATTTTTCAACAGTTTTTTCACGGTTTTGAAAATTTTCATTTTTTCTTATAATTTTTTCTGAAAAATTAACTACGCTGTTTTCATGTACATAAAATTTACATTATTTACACAGAGTTATTAATTTAACTAATTAGGTACTCGTATATGGCACATGGGTAAATTTGTAATTGATTAACAAAATAATTTTAATTAAGTTTCCAGATATTATCCTAAATTTAATTAAATTAAAAATCAAAAATAAATTATTGATTTTAATCAATTATTAAATTATAGCTTACAGGTGATTTTGAAAAAAATCGCATCCGACACATTATAGGCATCAAATCGGCACTATACGATACAAATCATATACGAAAATACTAACATACTTGTAAAAATATAATGATCCCTCGAATCTGCCCTGTACAGTGCATATATTAAGTACTCAGACTAACTTTAGACTGATTAAATGGTTGATTCAGAGTTGATGTTTTTTTTTATTTTTGGGCATTGACAGAGATCCTTTGAAATTGTATAAAAAGTTTAGGTATTTGGTATACCATGCTATAGAATGACCCATGTATCATCACTCATAATATTCATCACTAAACAGGAAAAAAAATTGGAGGGGGGGCATTAATCTTGAATTGATAATTTTAGAAAGGTTGAATTCCTATTTTGCACCTTTGAATTTTTCTCCTGGAGCTTAATTTCCCTTCGTTCTTTGTGCTATTTATGTCCACTACCTTGATTAGCATGTACAATAATTAAATTAAATATTTTATATTTGCTTATCATCGTAAATAAATATTAAAATCGTTTGACTCTTTGGGTGAATAAGAAGTACTTTCTTGAGCTAACGGCTTATGTATTTGGTTTTGCAGGTTGCAAGCGGTCTGCAATCGATCAGCAAGTGTTGGACATGGAACGGCCCAGCCTAACGACCGGTAGCGGTAGGCTGGGTGACTACGGATGTGACTCGCCGTGGACTCTGATCCAGTCAGCCCTGAAGGCGATGAAAGAGAAGCACGGAGACAACATCGAGTTTGTGCTGTGGTCAGGGTAGGTGTTTTATACTTGTTGTTAGCAAGCAAAAAAACAATACCCTTTATACGCTGTCTTATGGTTCCACGAGGATATATTGTTGTATATATGTTTGCGCTAAGAGAAAGGGTTGTCGAGAAAGGGACAACGGGACTTTGGAGTAGTTTCTGTATACACCTATCTCGGTGTACTACAACTGATAGGCAAATTAAAAACTCACCGTAAAAAGTTTTATTTCTCATTTTTCATGGTATAAAAAAATAAAAAACAAAATAAAGGAAAAACGCTTTAGCGCCGATGTCGGGTTGGATTAACCCACTAACATGGTATGCTATATCATTATTAGGCGACCCGTACCTATCACAATACAAATCGTACGCGTTCTTCTTCATGCTTATAAAATATTAATTTGAAATGAAGTGTTGTAGTAGTACTCAGATTGTTCGAGCCAACCACCATTGACTCGTTAAAAATCCAATTTAAATTAAGTGTTTGGTGTGGTTTGTGTATGTGTATGTTTGTATAACTATATCTCGTAAAAATATACACAAAAAGAGAACTGTCAATTGCATAAAAAGCAGCATGGCTTGAACGATATGTATACAATTATAATATACACGTGCGTATACCTACCTCGTTTTCATAGACAATATCACGTCCGTAAAAAGATTTGCTAAACATGTACATAATGTTGAATTTAGTGTGACTAAATAATAAAATATAAATATTCGTTTTTGCCTTATATCTAGGCGAATGCAATGTGAAGCATGGTTTAATACAAATTAGTTCGAAAAAGTCATTACTTGACGCTTATATACAGAGATTTGTATCGACAAAGACAAATTGCGTAGTGACATTTTGAGATTGTACATTATACGTTGAATATGAGTAAAAAAACAATGGACCTTATGTTAATTAGATATAAAGCATATGAAGTTTATTTTTTTTTAAAAAAAAATCTATCTAATTACGTCGTATTTTCAAATATACCGTTGTTTTCGTATAAACTGAACATACAGTTATGATTAATTTCATTAAAATATAATTTATACAGGTTGCAGGAAAGATCGTGAGGATAACGATTATCAATCATTTGAATAACTGTTTTTTTATAACATAGGCACCATCGAATGAGTATGATATTCATAAAATTGAAATTAATGCCCTGCATTAATTAACTAAAAAGTTGTGAATTTATTGACGGGTCTTTTTTAATCATTTTTTCATCTGAAATAAAAACATATTATGTATTAAAACACATTGTAAATCAACTCTCAACTCTCAGTTATATATACACACATTCAAATTTTAGAAATATGTTATTGTATATTTTCTGCGTGTTTTATGACAGCTAAAATCTTCATTTTCTCCAATAATAGGAATATTATTTATTTTACGAGTTTATATGATTATTTTATTAAACTAAATCACAATGTCGAGAGTTCTATATATATACATACTCTAAATAATATGTTTTATTATTTTAAATATATATTTTTCTATTCATATACATTGACTATAGTTGTCCAAATTATAATATACTATACCTGAGTTACTCGTGATCGAGTATTTTTTTATCGTGAACATCTGATAGGAAAACGATTGTTTTTTTTTCTATAAACATTTAAAGAAATTGTACTTACAACCATTTAAATTTAGAAGTATAGTAATGAAATTATGAGGTTAAATTATCTGAAATTATTAATTTAATATGAATCTTAATTGTTTCACCTAATTTACCTTTTAAATTATTTTAAATTTCCTTTAAGAAAAATATAAATTAAGGAATCCTCTAGAGAAACTTGATATTGAATCTATACTTTCTACAAAACAAAATATTGTACAGATTCGTACGTTTTTAAATTTATTAAATTTGTAAATACAATATTATAGATTTATAGAATATATATTTCTGTTGAAGTAACTTACATAGAAAAACACTATTTTAAATTGAGATACCTATAATAATATTGAAGACATTATTTCTAATATGTCTGAAAAATCGAGTGAAATATTGAAAGATAAATTGTTTCAAACATAAATTAACATTGTTTGATGTGAACATGAGTGAATTACGCAGCAACTGCGTTTTTTTCTATATACGCTTTTGAGGACCATATTCATTTCGCCCTAGCTGACGTAGTCGTATCTGATGTGCACGACAGCGTTAGTAAAATAATAATATACTCATAACATCACCGTTGAGTTTGAGTTTGTATACATATATTTATACGTATATAAACGTCTTAATATCGTGTTAGTTTATTAACGAATACGAGAATACATGATGTACAAGGACTAATCTCGTGTTACTCGGATGAGCACGTTGAATGGAGTATTTTCAGCATAGGATTCTGGGGGTTCATTGTGTATATCTGTACATAAAACGATTATGACCTTATGTATTAATATCGATAATACAACTATAAGGGATTACGTTCGATTAATAAGTTAGGTTAAAACATCAGCGTGTTAATGGGAATTTATTTGGATCATGTTCATCTCGTCAACCGTGTATTCTTCAAACACACACACACACACATGTACTTATACCATTTTATATACAATTACACTACCCTATTTTTTGACGTACTTTAGTCGTATAATGGCATATCCTATTGAAACATTTTTAACAGGTATTATTGATCATTTAGCCTTTTCCTCATCCTTTTTCCGGTTTTCCGTCATTCACTCATGTCAACCCATTGCGCAAGGAATTCCCCTCACCAAATTTTCACTGCAACGCGTCACGGGGTGAAATGATCTTTTTGCACTATATGTATTGTTCGTTCACTCGGCCGAGAAGTTAATTATTTTCGTCTCGAATTGTCCGCCTCACGTGAAGCGGGAATTTTCTTCACCCAGAACTTAGTCCGTCGTTAACGTATCGTAGTAGTAGTATTTGCTCTCGGTAATGCAAGCGACACCGTTTTACCGACTGTTCATAATTTATCGCGTTTCACCTCACCGCCGACCGGTACAACCCAACCGCACTACACCGTCTATATAATAATCTCACAAACTCAGTTTGTAGAATTCACGTACACACACACACACACACACACACACACACAAAAATAGTCACATGTATTCCTTCCACGAGTATAAAAATAACTAAATATTACCGCACTAATTAACAATTGTTATCGATTTGTAATTATTTGTGTACACTAGCGTCGGTATCACTACAACGTATTTTTATTACTATTAAATATTACACAATATTTTGTTATAATGAAATGTATATATATATATATATATATATATACATTTTCGCGAGAGAGTTCTGTTGTACCGTAATCGTACGTCTGCGTCAGTTTATTGTACATTACATTATTTATAGTTAATAAAAGCGATTATAAGTGTGGTACCGTACACACGCATACTGCCCTATTATGCACGAGACCCCTGTGGTTCTCTACATAGTTGTTGTACCCCAGACGAGTATATTCAAGTACGAATATTGTGCCAGAACGATGATGTTATTTCATAGAGGTAAACATGATAACTGACGTCCTCAGTTACTAATCGACGAGCTGCAAAAAGCTACTTTAGGCTCGCCTGAATCAATAATTTAGTAACGAACGAGAACCATAGACAATTTTTTTTTTTTACGAATAATGGAAAATGATACACGTTTATCGTATCTACTATATTGATATATAAATAGATCCCCCCCCCCCCGAAACATTTCGATGATACGTTCGGTAGTCGACATTGTAGAGCTTCGATGAATATTGAAGAGAGGGGAAAAAAACGTAACTTCACCACTTTCAAACCTACTAAAAAGATAACTTATCGTCTTACGTCACGCTACGAGACCGTATGGCTTGACGATTATGTGAAATTAATCGAACTTATTAACGGTGTTATAATTTTTTTTATTTGTTCATTTTATTCTGTTGTAATACTTCAACCAAGAAGAATTAAGTAAGAAAATTATAAATAAATTGGTTATGTACACTTTTTTGGACGGTGTGATGCTTAATTAATTGATATAAATATGAAAATTAATTTAAAACTATTTAGCACTGGTTTTCAACTTGAGGGAGTGTGCTCTTGGGCAGCCGTAAACATTTTTAAAAACCATAAAACAGGAAAACATTATTTATGATTATTTATTTTTTGTCGGACATTATTGATTAATTATAATATCTACTATTTATGTACATTATCGTTTATTTTTGCGTACTATCAGAGTTATCGCTAAATATTAACAAATTACTTTAAATTAAGCAGTGACAAACACTTTTAATAATTAATATTTAGTAATAATAAGTTTACAGTTTAATATTTACAAAATTATAATAATACATTTTGTTTTAAAAATTTGAAATAAGAATAATATTTTATTTCTCTGCAAATACAATTAATAACATTTAACACAATTTTGATTATTTAATGATTATTTCAATCTTAAAGTAGTGAGGGGGGCGTGATTTCATACGTATTATGAAAAAGGTATGGACTTTAAATGGTTAAAAATCTATGGTGTAGATAATTAATTATTGTTTTGTATTATCTAGTATTGAGTGTTAATAAATGTTGATCGGATAGGGAGACTTTTTCCTCCCATTTACCTAATTAGTTAATTTTCTCGGGTATATCCTGAACTTAATGTCTACGTACGCCACTGTATGTGTGACGTATTTGTTTTTCATTGGTCCTCGTGTCCTTTTACAAAGGAATAAAGTCACGTTCAATAGAAGTACCCTATTTATTTTGTACAATCCATTCAACTGATGAAATTCACATTTTTGCCATTGCCTGTTTTGTTTCTCCTGCATCGGCTATACAATTTTATTATCTTATTTATTTAGCTTTCACGATACCATCAATTATTTTTTTTTGTTTTCAACACCAGTTCTTTGTTTTAGATAATGAATTATTTTTATTATGTAACTTATGTAACTCGCAATCATAAATATAATATGATATACGGGTAATAATAATTATAATAATATACATCCCATCATCAGTGAAAATATTATCACAAAAATAAAATAGAAGTATCACAT